TGCCAGAGAAAAGGGTTTAAACTGAAAGGAGGAAAGGTTTAAATTAGAGATTGGGAAGGAATTCTTACCTGTGAGGGTGATGAGGGGCTGGGATGGAATTCCCAGAGAAGCTGTGGCTGGCCCATCCCTGGAAGTGTCCAAGGCCAGGTTGGACAGGGCTTGAAGCAACCTGAGATAGTGGAAGATGTTCCTGCCCATGGCAGGGGGGTTTGGAACTGGATGAGCTTTAAGGTCTCTCCCAACCCAAACCATTCTGGGACTCCAGGATTCTCTAACAGCAGATTCCTGTTCTTCCCTTGCATCCATCTCCCTCCCCTCAATGCATCAAGAACAGAAGAGGGTTGATGCTCTCACAGCAACTTCCCCAATAATTTGGGATCTTAAACCACCACCACCACCCATTAATTGTCTTAAGCTGAAATAGAAGAGATTTAGGTGGGATATTAGGAAGGAATTTTTCCCTGTGAGGGTGAGGCCTTGGCACAGATTGCCCAGAGAAGCTGCTCCATCCCTGGAAGTGTCCAAGGCGAGGTTGGACCGGGCTTGGAGCAACAGGATGGTGAAAGGTGTTGGGGTTGGAATGGGATGAGCTTTAAAGTCCTTCCAACCCAAACCATTCCATGATTCTCTGATTCTCTGATCATATAAAGAAGCAAAGGAGAATTATGATTCCCTGTTTTTCCTCCTTGCATGAGGAGGCTCCTTTCAAGAGCAGGGATTGCTGCTCTGGAGGTTCCTGTCACATCAAGATCAGCTCATTTGTCTCAACCACCAATCTGAAATTCATCCTCAGTTTCTCTCCTGGCACTTTGGGGCAGTATTTTTAAAACACAGAGAGCATGAAGTTCCACATTTAGTGATTGTACAGGTGGGCTTTCATAAATCAGACTTCAAGTTTCAATAGATCTAAAGAAATAAAGAGTTGTTTTTATGCAAATCATGTATTCTATTACATTTTAACTTGTTTTTTTTTTAATGCCCTTCCAGATAAACATCACGTCAATGGAAACAGAATGGTGGAACCTTTCCCAGAGGGAACACAGATGGCTCTGTTTGGTAAGACATCAGTTCTGAAACAAAAGCTCTAAGCTTTGTAGCGTTCCTGAATTCCAAATTCCTTCATTTCAGCCTGAGTTCTCAAAGTTTTAAAATCTGGGCTGCTCCTGCCATTTCCCAATCACTGCCATCAGCTAAAGCCACTGAGCATTTGGGGACATGGCCATGCCTCCCCAAAAATATGCTAAAAGTATTTTTTCTTAATTATACCAGCAACAAATTAAAAGGGCAAGTTCTTTATATTTTGGGACTCTGTAAGTTTGGGGGAAGAGCCTGAACTAGTTGACTTTCTGATTCCACCTTACCAGGACAGGATTTTCACACCTCTTCTCCAGAAACATCCTTTAATCCTTTAATTGGGATTGCACAGGGACAAGTCTTAAAGAGTAGGAGTTACTTAGGAGTAATCCCTCTTATTGCTCAGAGAGGGTGTGGATTCTCCTTCACTGGAGATATTCCAGAGGTGTCTGGACACAATCTTGTGCCATGTGCTCTGGGATGCCACTGCTGGAGCAGGGAGGTTGGACCAGGTGACCCACTGTTCTCCCTTCCAACCAGACCCGTTCTGGGATGGCTTACAAAGACCTATAAAAGCTAAAAGATGATAAATAACCACATAATTGTATAGCTACAGTCTATTTGCAGTGAATTTTCCTATTTCTTGGATAGTTTTAGGTGCAACAGTAAAATAACAGCGTAAAATGTAGTGCTGGGCTGTAAACACTGATCCTTTCACCTGCTGAAAACACAGTGGGATTGATTACACAGCTCCCTCTTCTGCAAAATCTCATCCAGATGCTCTTATTAATGGTACATTATTTGTTTCGTGGTGTGACTTCTGGTTTTGATTGAGGTACAGGGGGAATGTACCCTGGGCTTTGTTCCTGCAGCTGTAACAGAACCTCACAGATCTCAAAAGACTCTTTAAATGATCTTGAGACTCTCCTGTTGTTTGTTCAGCATCACTCATTGCTGGAGATGCATCTGTTGTTCTTTAGGATAAAGAGATGTGTCTCCTTGTTCCTACAATGGAGATGAAGCCACTTTTAAGGGTGAGGGTGACTCTTTAATGGAAATCTTTTAGTGCTACTCACCCAATGACCTCCTAATCCAGCTTCCAGCTGATTTTAAGGCATGAAGAGCACAGGAGGAGCACAGGCACCTCACAGCCTCACGGGAGACGCTGGAGAGTTACATCAAAAATCAAAAATCAGTGTGTCCCTTGAGGTCTGTTCCCAAGTTCAGTGATGAAGTTGTGGCTGCCCCATCCCTGGAAGTGTCCAAGGCCAGGTTGGACAGAGCTTGGAGCCATCTGGGCTAGTGGAAGGTGTCCCTGCCCATGACAGGGGGTTGGAATGAGATGAGGTTTAATGTCCCTTCCCACCCAAACCATTCTGGCATTCTATGTTTTTATGAAACAGGTGAAACTCTAGATGTGTTTGTGTTACAAATGATAAAGTAGAAGCCATTCAATAAATGCCTGTCTAGAAAGTTTTCTTGTAGTTATTATGCTTATAGATATTTTGATTTAAAAATATTTTGCCTGTACTGACTGATTTTGACCCAAAACCTGACCAAGACTCAAAATCTGGACATATATGGAGGGGTCAATAATGTTTTGAAAAGAAACATTTCAGAGACTAAATTCAACTTTTGGACAGAGTGGTAAAAAAACCCAAATGCTTCAAAGCTGCAGAACAACTACAAATTTCAATAAATTAGTACTTTCATCAGTACCATTGTAATTCTTTGCATATTTTAAACACATTTAAATGCTCTGCTGTATTATCATAGGATCAAGAATGGTTTGGGTGGGAAGGGACCTCAAAGAACATCTTGTTCCAACCCCCTGCCATGGGCAGGGACACCTTCCACTAGCCTAGGTTTATGAATTTTAAGTACTTCTTTTCCTGTTGCAAATCTCCAGTTTATCCCAAAGCACTTCTATATTCACTGAGCTTTATATGTTTCCTTATTTCTCTAAGAGGAAGCATCTTGCATATGGTGCATTCATAGAAGGGCTTTTATTTACCTCCAGCAAAGCCTGGCAATAGTTCAGATTTGTAATTATAACACTTCTAAAATATAGGACTAAATTGAGTTGTATTTGCTTGACATACAGTGGCTCATAATGAGATAATTGGTTTCTTGATGTAAACAAAGTATAGACAGAAATAGGATGTTCAGTAACAGATAAGATCTAATTATGGATGTTTTTAGGGCTGACAAACAGATCCAAGCTTGGTCACCTTCTGCTCCACATTTATTAGACAGCAGCACATTCCAGTAATTCCCCAGAGCTGGATTGTTGTTGTGCTTTGCTGCCCCATCCCTAGAAGTGTCCAAGGCCAGGTTAGACAGGGCTTGAAGCAACCTGGGATGATGGAAGGTGTCCCTGCCCATGGCAGAGGGTGGAACTGGATGACCTTCAAAGTCCTTCCATCCGAAACCATTTTATTTCAATGATAAAGTCTTGATCAGGGCAACTTCACAACTAAAGGAAAATAATTTCACTTGAAACGGGGGGTGATGTGTTTAAAAATGGATAGACCCATTCAGAATTTCTTTTACTCTTGAAACAGCTCCTGGTGGCCTTGGCAGATAAAAATGTGTGTTAGGAAGTCCTTTGGTCTGACTGAGTTTTCAATTGCTACTTTTCACCAAGAAAAGAAAATCACAGGAAACAAAGTTTGGCCGCCAAGAGAAAATACCTTTTTCTTTTTCTTTTTCTTTTTTTTTTTTTTTTTGTAGACAGTAAAATAGAACAAACAATTTTTCTCTCTTGGTCAAAGAAAAAGAAGAAAACTTTAAATCATAATACAGGTCAGCAGATATTTTATCTCTGTCTGAAGAGAATGGAAGAGTTCCTGATGTTGAAACAGGTGTGTGTGCTGTGACCCAGATGTAGGAGAAACATCTACAGAGACATCAGCAGATGTTCCAAGGATCATGTTATGGAATAATTGAGAGCTAGAGGGAAGGTCTTCCAGAAGGGATTTGTGTTTCTCATGCTAATTATCTTTAAACATCTTGGAAGGGTGAAAGAATTGCACTAATTGGCTGTATTTGTAGAGCTCTGAAGCATTAATGGTGTCCTGTGTTCACATGCTGGTGGAAAAATGGACACTGGATTTCTGTAGATCTGGAATGAGAGAATAAACCTGTAAAGATAAGGCAGAACAAAAAGGAATGCCTTAAACAGAAGATGCTCTGTCCTTAAACCAGATCATGGTCCTACTCCTACCTTTCCACTATCTTTATTAAAGAAATTATCCTTAGTTCCAATTTTCCTTTTTTTTTTGCCTTCCAGAACATGACTTTGTCTTTTTGTTACCTATTCCAGAGAATTGAAACACATCCCAGATCCCTGACCCTGCTGTTGGGTCCTGGTTCATCCCTATTGTCACCTCTGCCTACACATGGGGTCACAGACTGGTTTGGGTGAGAAGGGACCTAAAAGGTCATCTCATTCCAACCCCTGCCATGGGCAGGGACACCTTCCACTAGCCCAGGTTGCTCCAAGCCCTGTCCAACCTGGCCTTGGACACTTCCAGGGATCCAGGGGCAGCCACAGCTTCTCTGGGAATTCCATCGTAGCCCCTCACCACCCTCACAGAGAATTCCTTCCCAAGATCCCATCTAATCCTGCCCTCTGGCAGTGGGAAGCCCTTCCCCCTTGTCCTGTCCCTCCATCCCTTGTCCAAAGTCCCTCTACAACTTTCTTGGAGCCCCTTTAGACTCTGGAAGGGGCTCTCAGGTCTCCCTGGATCCTTTGCTTCTCCAGGTGAACACCCCCAGCTCTCCCAGCCTGGATCCAGAGCAGAGGGGCTCCAGCCCTCGGAGCATCTCCATGGCCTCCTCTGGACTCACTCCAGCAGCTCCACGTCCTTGTGCTGTTGTTCCCCAGGGCTGGAGGCAGCTCTGCAGGGGGGTCTCAGCTGAGGGGGCAGAGGGGCAGAATCCTCCCCTCCCCTGCTGCCCACGCTGTGGGATGAGCCCAGGACACGGGGGTTTCTGGGCTGGGAGTGCCCATGGCTGGGGCATGTCCAGCCTTCATGACCCCAAATCCTTCTCCACAGATCCTCTCCTCCCTCACATCCTTGCCTGGAGTGCAATGTTCTGTTTGCTGGTCAGACCTGCAGGGGATTTTCATTTTTAAACCACAGCCAGGGAATGTTCTCTGTTTAAGATTTGAAAGTCTAAACTGGGAAGTCCTGAACCAAAAATTTTCCCCTAAGCCTGTTGTAAAATAAGGTGATAAACACAAAAATAACCACAATTCTGGGACTTTTTGAAATAAAAATCTCCATATTCAGTTTTTCTTGTCCTATGGAATTCTATGGCCATTATGCATTAAATGCTGCTCTGATTTGATGGAATTGTGCCTCAGCTTTGTGGAAGTAAATGGGCAGTTACAGAGCTCTGTGGAGACAGACCCAGATAAAAACAAAGTGCTTGGTCTTACCAAGGACATTTCCTGACGTTTATAAACACTAATAAGGGACAATAAAATATCCCTAATGCAAAGTGAAAGCTGTCCTTGATCAGCACAACCCTTCAGAACATTCTTTTCTTTCAAAGGAGCCACATCTCCTTTTTCCTTCTGAAAACAAAAGTAATGTGGCCTTCAAACACAATCTCTGGGCTTCTCCATCAGGGAGTTTTTTATGTTAATTTAGGTTTCTCGAGGTAATGAAGAATTCAGCTTTGTGTGGGTTTTCACTTAGAGTGGATGGTGCACATTAGGGAAGATCTGGAGGTTTTTAAAAGTCAGATTGCAGCTTTTCAATCAGCATCATTCAGCTTAAAACAACCTTTTCATTATGTTTTTGGGACTTTTCCACATAAATGAGTAGAAGAGACACAATTAATTTTCCTGATTTTGGGGACAGGGCTCTTTGATCCCCAATAGCAGGAATTGTCCTCAAGAAGAGTGTTATTTTTCTATTTTTCTATGTATTTTTAAAATTTAGAGGGTGGTTATTTATTTTATTTTATTTATTTATAGTTTATTTTCTATGCAAAAAGCCAGCAGAGCACCTGGGTGACTTTAACAATTGCAAAAGCCTTGCAGAGAAGTAATTCCCTGCCAATGATAAATAGGAATAGAGCAATGACTGGAATGAACATATGCTTGGCATCATTCTGAGTTGGTTTAAGTTTGAAATAGAAGTAAATTATCCTGTTAATGACTAAAGGCTGCCCTTCTCTGTGTGTTTGTTTATGCTCTGGGATCTCCACATTTACCATCAGCATTTCTCCTTTGGTTCCTGCTAATAAAGCACACAGTGATGAGGATTTATTGTGTTCAACCATGAAAAAATATGCAAGAAGGTTTTTGGAGGGAGAAAATGGTGTTGTTTTGATAATTTTAGACATACTGTGACATTCACAAAGTACTGTCAGCCCATCTTGCAGATCCTAATGGATTTATCTTCTCAAGGCTTCTGTCACAGCCTGGCAGTTTGAGAACTAGGGATGTGAGACTGAGAAAATAGGGCCCTATACTGATAAAATATGGATTACTTATTCAGTTTAGGAGAATTCAGAGTGATTTTTGAATTTTCAGGTGTTTTTCCTCACCTGATCAAGGTGTTGGTGATCTTAAGAAATTTATCATTAAATATCTTTGCTTCAAATTGAAGATATAAAAGTCTTTGTCTGCTTCTAAAATACTTGCTTGGAAATACTCTGGAAACTTGGAGGACTCAAATGGAATAGAATCATAGTCACAGAATGGTTTGGACTGGAAGGGATCTTAAAAATCATCCAGTTCCAACCCCCTGCCGTGGATAGGGACACCCTCCACTAGCCCAGGTTGCTCCAAGCCCTGTCCAACCTGACCTTGGACATTTCCAGGGATCCAGGGGCAGCCACAGCTTCTCTGGGCAACCTGTGCCAGGGTCTCACCACTGTCACAGCCAACAATTCCTTCCCAGTATCCCATCTCTTCCTCCCCTCTGGCAGTGGGAAGCCATTCCCCTTTGTCCTGTCCCTCCATCCCTTGTCCCAAGTCCTTCTCCAGCTCTCCTGGAGCCCCTTTAGGCACTGGAAGGGTCTCCAAGTTCTCCCTGGATCCTTCCCTTCTCCAGGTGAACAATTCCAGTTCTCCCAGCCTGGCTCCAGCCCTTGGAGCATCCTTTTGAACCTTTATCTTGATCTCATTGTTGCTTTCAACTCATAGGGCTGGAGTTCATCTCAGTAGATTTTAGGTATGTAACCTAAAGTTGCCTTCAAGAATTTCCCTCCCCAGGTCAGAGAAGACACATTTGGAGGTTGGTTCAGAAAATCTGCTTCAGAGAGAAATAAATCATCCCCTGTTTGTTGTGTCAAACACTATATAAACCACTCTCTTAGACTAGAGGGAATTGATGCCTTTGCATAAATACATTGCAAATGTTTTCTACCATTTGAGGCGTCCTGGGGTGTTTGGGACATCCATGGGGGGCTGCCAGGGATGATCCAGGTCTCACAGGAGATCCAAACTCTTCTCAACCAAGGAATGAAAGCCAGTTTATGTAGTACATCCCAAATGATTTTATATACCTTTCCTTAGGGATTCTTCATGCAAGTAAATTTAAGCATAATGTATAAAGGAAACTATCATTGATCTCCAGCTTCCAAGGACATGCAAAAGGCATCTCAGATGGCACCAGATACCTTTATATGTGCATTTGTCACAGAATCATAGATTGGTTTGGGTTGGAAGGGACTTTGAAATCATCTCATTCCATTGGAACTGAACCCTGGATCTCCTGGATCTTTGGAACTGAACTGACTATCATGGGAGCTGCTCCTGTCACGTGGGAACACAAATAGTGGAGATTTAAGTTATTCACATCTGCATGATGGGAATTCACATCTGTTGACTGGGAAGAATTGCTCCTAGAATATTGCTCTCAGAATCCCTTATGTCCCAGTATGTATTTATATAATAATATTTATATTATTAAATATATATAATATATGTTTATATAATAAGGCTACATTATTTAGGGGATTTAGGGTAATACTGATATGAGGTTATGTTCAGTGAAAATCTGTGCTGGCTGGTACAGTCTCTGCCTTTTCTGGGTGACACAAGTCTTTTGTCTTAAAAAGAGAGTAAAAACTCCGTCCTTTAAGAGGCTGAAACATCACTTTATTCCAGATTTTCATTGTAGACCACCTGACTTTGCTCTTTGTTCAGGACACACTTGAGAAATGAAGGCAAAAATACATTTCAGAAGAAAGAAATGACATGATCAGTTTTCCAAGTAAGATAAGAGCTAATCACAAAAAAAAAAAATAATTCTGATTTGAGTTGAATGTAAGTAATTTTGAAGCAGAGCTGTAGCTGTTTGTTTGTGAGCCAGGGAAAACAGCATGTGATGTGTCAGGCTTTGAGATGGAATTTATTGGTGTGTCATTGGCTGAAATCCAACATTCTGCTCATAAATAATATAATCCTGGTGTGACACATTTCTGCTTGAACCTTGTCTGGAAATTACGGAGACTCATGTTATGAATTATGGAGCAGCAGACACGTGTTTGAGGCAAAAGGAGAGAAATGCAGGAAAGTGTTCGGAATTAGGCACAGCATCTAAAGGCACATGGATGCAGCAAGGGCAAGGTGTCCTCCTGGTATCCAGAGGTGTAACATGGAGCCTCAGGTGGATGGTCATCCAGTTCTTTTTGACTCTTTCTTCTGGGATGGGAAGTCTGATGTGATGGTGGTTGTTGGTGTCATTGCGTCCCTCTCTTGTATTCCCTCAGCACTTCCTATTGGCTCTGAATTTTCCCAGAGCTCCAGACAAACCTTGACACCAACATCCAGGGTGGGAGTCACTCAGTGTTGCTCAGTGGAATGTGCCTGACCAGCCAGGAGAGGACAAATGTGGGGGTTTAACCGTCAGAGTTTCCACTCAGACTCCTCTGGTGTGAAGGGGTTTAAACCTGTGGGAGATAAAGAGATTTTAATTTACTTTGCTTTCTGGAGACCAATAAACCCAAGATCATTTTGCTGTGCTGCTGCATTAAAGATCTGGGCGTGCTTTTTAGATGTAGAAGGACTTTTGGTCACTAAATGGTTCCTCTTCACACCGTTATTTCTACTCTGCTACAGAAATGCACACCTGGGTTCTCTTTTTCTTTCCTTGCTCTGGGCATGTAACTGTTCCCAGACTGTTCTGGAGAGAACAAATTGATTCCCTTTGGGATGAGACCTGCCTGTGGTTCTGGGAGTAGTTCATCCCAGGTGCCACTCCTTTAAGATGGAGAGGGACTCTGGACAAGGGGTGGAGGGACAGGACAAGGGGGAAGGGCTTCCCAGTGCCAGAGGGCAGGGTTAGATGGATATTGGGAAGGAATTGTTGGCTGGGAGGATGGCTGGCCCTGGCCCAGGTTGCCCAGAGAAGCTGTGGCTGCCCCTGGATCCCTGGAAGTGTTCAAGGCCAGGTTGGACAGGGCTTGGAGCAACCTGGGCTAGTGGAAGGTGTCCCTGTCCATGGCAGGGGGTTGGAACAAGATGAGCTTTAAGTTCCCTTCCAACCCAAACCATTCCTTCATTCTGTGATCAGTGATAACAAATAATGAATTAAAGATGTTTGGGAATCTTTTTCTGCTGGACAAGTTTTTTAAACTTGACAAACGTTCTAATAATCACCCCTGACCTGCTTTGAAGTTGTATCTCCATAAAAATCCCCAAGCCCCAAAGGAGACAAAGTGACTGGTTGCCCAGTGATGCTGTAAAAGAGGAAACAGCTCTTTCTGGATTGGCATGGATGTGGGAGATGTTGCTGGGAAGGAGGTGGGCTGAAGGCATTCCATGGAATGACCTCTCACTGTTCCCACCCTGGAGCAGCACAGCTGTGTCTCTGTGACTGTGGTACCGGAGTTATCCCAGCCTGGCTGGACAGCTCCAGTCATCCCAAATACACCCCTACAAGGATCTCTGGCAGCTTCAAGGTTAGAGAGGCTGTTTGTTGAAGCAGGAGTGTGTCCATATGCTCCTCCAGCTCAATCTTCTCCCAACCACATCCAGAGTGCAGAGTATATTTTGGGATGTCTAAGAAAACCTCTCGGAGAGTTGCAGGTCATGGACTTTGCTGGGAGTAATGACAATTCCTTTGCCAAGACATCCTTGCTGTGCTGACCCTCTACCTTGGCATTTATTGTAGTTCATTTTCAACACTTGGCCATGTTTTTTGGGAATGAGTTTCCTGCATAAATGGTAGATGACTAACCACATTTATATTTGGCCTCCGTCTGACCTCCTGGATATAAATTAGTTTTCCTCTAACAATCTTCTCTGGTATTTTATTGAGTAATTGTCTTTTTTGGGAGTGGGGAGGGAAGGGTTATTCTCTTTTTCCAAGTGAGAACACACCATCATTTCATTGGCTCCCAGCAGATGAGAAAATAACTCTTGGAACTTCCATATTTCCATTAAGGACAGCTATGATTCAAAATAGATTTTAATGATCTTTTAGGTGCACTTGGAAGGCATTTATTAGTTATAAAAAAGGAAAAGGGTTAAGGGGAAAGGAGGACGAAAGGGCTGCTTGTTGAATTGCCCTGTTATTTGAATGTAATTATTTTTTGCTCCTGAGCAATTATAGATTGCAAGTTTAAATAATTGTCAGGGTGCCTACAGCTTTCTATTGTTGTCTGAAATCTAAGGCTATAAATATAATAAGTAATATGAGATTACTTTTGCTGAATGTGTCTACAGCAGTTCATTTAACTCAGCAATAGTTATCGGAAAAAAAAAAAAAGGAAAGAAAAGGCAATTTTTCTATTCCTTCCAGTAAACAAACTTTGTAAACAAGTTATTATTTTCTGCAACACGGCCCTAAGAGTGATTCTGATTTTGCTGGTAACAAAATGTGCTGCTTTGCTTTCATAATGATAGAATATATTTTGTTTTGCTTTTCTACATCTCGAGCTCCCTGAGGTGGCCCAGAGATTAGAGAGATTTTCACAAGACAAGGGTAAGGCTTTGCTATTATTGGAGAGATGAATTTATATGAAAGACAGAGTTTCAAGAGAATCGAATGGATTACACAGCCCTGATGACATCTCTTATTTTGTGTGTACATCAAGTTCTTCTTGAGCAGCAGAGCACTAAAGTGTGTCAAATGACCGAGGATGATCTAAAATGAATCTCTGCCAAACATTGGGATGCTCAGAGGGAAGGAAGATCATGAAATGATTTGAAAACCTCAGATCAATGGCTGAACTAAAGATGTGATGCTTTGCAATGAAGCAAGTAATCAGGTTGTTGATAGGCCCGTGTAGCTCCATCTCAATCTCTTCAACATATTATTGTAGCAGTGATTCTTTTTATCCCTGACAGACTTTTGAAACATAATATATTAAGAAACTGTTCCTGCTTCAGAGGAGGTAGAAGGGTGGCCAGACATGGGCATGATTTATTCCTTAGTCACTGTAACCTTGGATTTTCTGCTGGGATCATTCAGATTAAGAGGCTGCACTTTGGGTGGGGGCGACCCTGGGATTGATCCAGGCTGGGGATGAACAAATGGAGCAGCCCTGGGGAGAAGGATTTGGGTGCTGGTGGGTGAGAGGCTGGACATGCCCTGGCCATGGGCACTCCCAGCCCAGAAACCCCCCGTGTCCTGGGCTCATCCCACAGCATGGGCAGCAGGGGAGGGGGGAATTCTGCCCCTCTGCCCCCTCAGCTGAGACCCCACCTGCAGAGCTGCCTCCAGCCCTGGGGAACAACAGCACAAGGATGTGAAGCTGCTGGAGAGAGTCCAGAGGAGGCCCCAGAGATGCTCCCAGGACTGGAGCCCCTCTGCTCTGGAGCCAGGCTGGGAGAGCTGGGGGGGTTCACCTGGAGAAGCAAAGGCTCCAGGAAGACCTGAGAGCCCCTTCCAGAGCCTAAAGGGGGTCCAGAAGAGCTGGAGAGGGACTTTGGACAAGGGATGGAGGGGCAGGACAAGGAGGAATGGCTTCCCACTGCCAGAGGGCAGGGAGAGATGGGATATTGGGAAGGAATTGTTGGCTGTGAGGGTGGTGAGGCCCTGGCACAGGTTACCCAGAGAAGCTGTGGCTACCCCATTTCTGGAAGTGTCCAAGGCCAGGTTGGACAGGGCTTAAAGCAACCTGGGTTAGTGGAAGGTGTCTCTGTTTATGGCAGGGGGTTGGAACAAGATGAGCTTTAAGGTCTCTTCCAACTCAAACCATTTCTTGATTTTATGGTTCTGTGGTTAAGATTTGATTCCGTTTTTGGAGATTTCAGAGGTGTGTAAAGAGCTTCTGATGCTTTTCTTCATCACATTTTCATAGTTTCAATAATTTATTTGGTAAGAGAAATTAAAAAAGAGTAAATAACTAGTTCAAGGAATCAGAACTTTGACCATAACTCCTGCCTTTTTTCTGTGTCCTTGGGACACTTGAGTCATCATCTTTGTGGCCAAGAAACATCAGGTGCCTCAAGTACTCCTTAAGACTCCTCTTTAATTGATTAGACATGAAATACTTGCAATTTTAGTCCCAAATTTTGCACTTAAGGACTGATTGTTCCTACTTTGTGGATAGCACTTCTTTTCTACAGGTCAGATCCATCTTTGCTGCAATACTGCTTTGGATGTGAGTCAGTTGTTCATGGAAAATGATACCAGTTGATCCCAGCCACGAGCATTCACTCAGTTACATTCCCAAATCCCCAAACATGAAAGGAAACAGGTGTTTATTGGTTTCTAACTGCTGAATTAAAGAGTTTGTAACAGATCCCTTTGATGTTTAAGCAATGTAACGATGCCAATGACCCTGTAAAGTGAAAGCTCAGCTTTGGAGGATGTTGCTGTTCTGTTCTGCATTTGTACCCAGAACACAGCACAGTGAAATTCAAACCTGGGACAAAGGATTTATGTTCTTTGGGTTTGAAAACAGCAACACCACTGATGATAGAAATCACCTGCAGAGAGAATATCTTTTACAGTCAGAATTCAGGCCTGAATTTCCAAAGCCTCCTGCTCATCTTGTGTTTCCCAGTTCTACACCTGTCTAAAGAGAATGGAATTCTTTATTTATACAAGGCCAGGTAGACAGAATTAGTTCAGTTTTAAAGTGGACTAGACTAAACCTCAACCTGGTCTAATGGAAGGTGTCCCTGCCCATGGCAGGGGGTGGGACAAGATGAGCTTTAAGGTCCCTTCCAACACAAACCATCCTGGAGTTCTGTGTTGTTTCTCTGATCAAAGACCAAATACATTCTTTAGGATGGAAATCTTCAGGAGTAGGACATTGAAGTAATTTTTGGATGAATTCTCTATTTATTGTTAAACATTTTTGATTCCTATTGTCCCATGCTTTGTCTTTATGGAATCATGGAATATCCTGAGTTGGAAGGGATGCACCAGGATCATCCAGTCCAACTCCTGGCCCTGCACAGGGCACCCCAACAATCCCACCCTGTCCCTGAGAGTGTTGTCCAAACACTCCTTGAGCTCTGGCAGGTTTGAGGCTGTGACCACTGTCCTGAGGCATCTTCACTGGTTATCTCCTCAACTTCACAAATATCAAGGTCACCAGTTGTTCTCTTTGCCTCCACATGTTCCAGCACTCACAACTTTCCAATATATTTTCTGTGTTTTTGGAAGCAAGTCTTTATTTTGTTGTGTTTTCCACATTCCTATAGTGCAGTGAGATTCCACTGGCAGAAGATGAATTAGGTGAAAGTTGCTACTTTTAATCCAAAGTTTTACTGAAGAATAGAAATTTGGGAAGGAAGAAGCTAGAGAATATATAGTTTTATCAAGTGCTGTTTAAATAGACATAGAATCATAGAATCATGGAATCATTGAGGTTGGAAAAGACCTCAAAGGTGATCATTTCCAACTGTTAAAAGTCATAGTCATGGCATGAAAAAGAGATTTAAACAAAGACCTGTTAATTGGCATATTTTGGTATTTTTCCAAAAGGGATTCATTCTTTTGCTTTGGGACCACTCATTCCTCAGTTGTGGATTATTTACAGTAATATTTAATATATTCTATTTCATGTATGCAAAATGCTTTTTGCAGTGATTAGGAACAAAGCCTGTACCCCAAGTCTGTGGAAAAAGGGAGGGAAGAGCTGCAGAGGTTGTTGGATTTCCTCACTCTCACAGGTTCTTCTTTTCCTGAGAAGTGGATTATTTAGATTCTCATTATTTAGACCCAAGCTGAACTTCTGAAGGCTCCAGGTGCAGCTCATGGGATGTGTCACAGGCACAGGGACATTCTGGGCCATCTCCTAAAGGTCAGAAAGTTTGGCCTCTGTTGCTTTTCCATCTTCTCCTTCCAGTGTGTGTGATGGGAACCTTTCAGATCACCAGAAATGATTTTTTTGAGTGGGCTATACCTGGAATTAGAGGCAAGTTTTCCAATAGGGAATTTAGATGATGGAATTTTATTAAGTGGAGTCACCCAGAAAATGGCTCTGTTGATCTTCAGGATAAAAATGGTTTAAATATTGCTGCTTATTGGGTGGGAAAGAATTCCAAGGCGGTGAATAAGGCCTTGGAACTTTGGAAAGTGTTGTGATGCACTGACTTGTGTCTGTCCCTGCTCTCTGCTGGTTAAGCTCAAAACTGCATTTAAATAGGAATATCTGAAACCTCTCTTGTTCAAACTGAGAAGTTCAGAGCAACTGTGCTTTGTGCCTTATTAACATTCTTGAGATTGGCTTCAGCTTTGTTTAAATCCTGTTGACTTTGTATTATTTATAAGTTGTAACATGCTTTTAGGATGGAATGAATAAACACATTTTGCCAGTTGTTTTCTGCATCCACCTCTTGCTTTTCCCACTTCGAGGGCTGTTGTCTCAGGGTTTTTTTTTTCCGAAGTCATCCTTATGACACGTTATTTCTGGTGCTGAAAACATGGCAGTTTTTCTCTTGACAGTAAAATATTCCTCTCCTGTGATGATAGTCTGCTTTTCCTTTTACAATAACCCTAATCTGTTGTGCAGATTCCATACAAACATCCCTCCATACACAAACACGGATGTCAGGAGCCACCTCGCAGGCAGGAACAAATTTCCTGGGCTTTTGTTAATTTGAATGAACATGAGGCTTCTGCTTCTCCTATGGAAAAAAAAAAAAAGCAGCAAACCCAACAGTTTCTCTGGGAATTCATGCAGTGTGAACAGAACATGCCTTGGCAAAATGGTGAGCCAAGAAATTCCTCTTTAGTTGCTCTGTTAGGCAAACTGCATTTTAAATTCCTTGCCCAGGGCTTTGTTTGAATTGCCCCAGGCAAGCTGTTCAACATATTTATCAACCCTGTTGTAGCATTAGAGCCAATGCTTATCTGGGAAGATCATCCTCTTAATGCCATCTGTCACCAGGAGTTTTATTTCTTTCAGCAGAGCTTGTTCTCAATTTCAATTTTTTGTTTTGTTTTGTTTTCATATTCCTCCCAACCATTTCTTAGTTGATTGTTTTCCAGGGATCTCAAATATTCTGTGATTGCTCAAATATTCTGGATGTTGAACCCCCTGAGGGTATCAGTAATACAATTTTGCTGCAAGTCCTGATTGATAACATGAATTCCCTCTGCATCCAGATGGCTGCCCAAAGCACTCTACATGATGGGGTGTTGAGGAAAAGATGCATTTGAAATGATGGTGCATTTCAATCTGAGTCTGGAATTCTTTCCAGATTCTCGACAAGAACTGGAAAAAAATCAGAACAAAGGCTCTGGGGTAGCTTAACGCTGTATTTTTGTCTTGAGGACACAGCTTTGATCATTTTAGATTTTCAGGCCCTTAGTAAAGGTTGTGTAAGTGCACAGACAGTATCAAAGTGTTCAGCAAAGCTGGATTCACTCACTTCACGTGGGATTTTAGATCAAGTTTACTTCTGGATTTGTGTCCACATTGTAAGCAGGTGAACAACCACTGTGTGTAGACTGGATATGCTGGGTGTTCTGCTGGGCTGCCAGGATATCCTGATGTGATTGTCCAGACAGGGAGATCATGGAGTCATGGAATGGTTTGGGTTGGAAGGGACCTTAGAGGTCATCTTATTCCACCCCCTGCCATGGGCAGGGACACCTTCCACTAGCCCAGGTTGATCCAACCTGGCCTTGGACACTTCCAGGGATTCAGGGGCAGCCACAGCTTCTCTGGGCAACCTGGGCCAGGGCCAGCCACCCTCACAGTCAACAATTCCTTCCCAGTATCCCATTTAACCCTGCTCTCTGGCAGTGGGAAGCCATTCCCTCTTGTCCTGTCCCTCCATCCCTTGTCCCAAGTCCCTCTCCAGCTCTCTTGGAGCCCCTTAAGGCACTGGAAGGGGCTGTAAGTTCTCCCTGGATCCTTCTCCAGGTGAATCTCCCCAGCTGTCCCAGCCTGTCTCCTGAGCAGAGGGGCTCCAGCCCTTGGAGCATCTCCATGGCCTCTCCCTAGAGATCTGCTGGATCCCTTCACATCTTCCTTGTCACCAACTTGCCGGTTGTTCCTTTAGTGGGATGCACACGATGGTGCCCACCAAGGCCTCATCCTGACCTTCCCTGGTGAATCCAAGGTCCCCACTTCAACCTGAGGAATTCTAAAAATCAATGGTCCCCACAATTTGAGAGCAGAACCTTCCCTTTGGCTCAGTGCTCAGAAATACCAGTCCTTGGCCCAACTTCAATCAATCAGCTGAACCAACTGCTCTCCATGATTTTTTTTAAGAGAAAATGCCAATCACAGTTGGCATTTGGCAGAAATGTTGGAAATGAGCACTATTCCATAGGTATGGAACTTGCTGAGCTTCAATTTATTCCTTCCAACAGGAGGGAGAAAAAACCAAAACCATTTCAGTTCAAAGCAGCTGAGCATTCCCTTCTCCAGATTTTACAGAGGGAACTAAATCAATCGTATTCCAAACCTGGGCCAAGTCCTGCAGTGGCCAAGGGAAGTGGGATATTGGCAACTGTGTCTCCAGCTCCAGGGGAAATGCTGGATGCTCCATGGTAGCCGGTGGGATGTACTTTTGGCTGTCCTTTCCTGCCTCAATGTATAGGAGCAGCTCCTGTTGGCTGGGTCCTGGAACACTGGAGCAGCTGGCACAGCCATCGCTTCCAGGGTTTTGGAGCAGAATCTGGCACCAGAGCCAGGCTCCTCTGTCTGAGCTTTGGATAAATCCTGTCCTGCTCCTTCCTGATCTGGGCTTAGGGAAGAGGTTTCCAGGACCTGCTGCTCTTTGTTCTCTCAGCTCCAGCTTGTTTGATTTTTCTGAGGGTTTATTTAAATCCGACATTTCCCCCCCTACCAGTGGAATATATTGTAAAATCCTGATAACAGAAGGAGGAGCAGGATCCATATCCTTTGCAGTTCATCATCCGCTGCCGACCTGGCATTGGAACAGCTCCTTAATCTACTGCATGGAAAAGTGCCTTGGAGTGTGGGAGTAGGGATTGCGGGCAGCAGGCCAGGGAAGGCTTGGCATGCCAAGGAAATAATGCATTCATTCCTCAAAATATGACAAAAAAGAGACTTCTGGATGGGCTGCTGGACTGCTGGGAGGGAATGGGAAGGCTTGGAAATAAAGCTGGCAGGAGGGAAAGGTTGGTGGATACTCAGGAGTCAGGTGTGTCTGCACCTGATGCCAGAGGGGAAGGAAATGCCGACAAAAGTAAAGGACAAAAGGCATTAAAAAATTATATTCCACAAATTAAAATAACGTCTATGTGGATATATCAGAGAAACAAATGAAAATTGGCCTGGATACGAAACAATCCACCTGCTGTGAGTTCCTTTAAATAAATGGAATAAATGGGAAGCTGAGAGTCCCTGAAGCTCAGCCTTTTCCAGCAGCTCCGGAGCTTCGGAGTTAATGGACGCTAATTAGGACAGAGTGGGTGCAGCTTGTGAGGGTTGAGTTTGGATCAGGAATCCCCTTCTGATGCAAATTTACTGCTCAGCTCATTTGCATAATGGAATCATAAATAGGAATTTGCATCAGGGAATCTGCGTAGAGACCGGGAATGATTCAAAGATGAGATGGGAACAGGCACTGGAGAAGGGATCAGAACAAAGGTGAGGAAAAGGTACCTTTGAGAATCGTGAAATTTCCTGTAGGAGTGAGGAAAACATCTTGAATGTTGAAGAGTTTTCAAATAAATTTTCCCATCTGATTTTTGTCCCCTTGTGATGGCCGATGTGAGCAGTACACAAAAGAAAGGATCTAACAATATTACAAGCTGTAAACATTATTATGAGGATAAATAACTTTGGAATTAGCAATTTTTCTTAGGATCCATCTAGTTTAGGCTGTAGCAGAGAGTCATACTGAGCTGGTCAGGTCAGTCACTTTTTATAGGTGTGGAAGGGAAATGGGCAACTGGGAAATGAGAAATGAGACACAAATCGATTTGTTTTTGGGAGATCTGATTCAACTTCAGATTCAGAGACTTTCAGGGGTTTGTAATGTCAGTATGTGGGGTATGGACTGGTTTCTCTGTCCTTAAAAAGTGCAAATGGGGTGCTCTGGTGAAACCCCACCTGGAGCTCTGGAGTCCAACATTAGAAGGATGTGGAGCTGCTGGAGCGAGTCCAGAGGAGGCCACGGAGATGCTCCCAGGGCTGGAGCCCCTCTGCTCTGGAGCCAGGCTGGGAGAGCTGGGGGGGTTCACCTGGAGAAGAGAAGGCTCCAGAGAGACCTGAGAGCCCCTTCCAGTGCCTAAAGGGGCTCCAGGAGAGCTGCAGAGGGACTTGGGACAAAGAATGGAGGGACAGCACACAGGGAATGGCTTCCCACTGTCAGAGGGCAGGGAGAGATGGGAAATTGGGAAGGAATTGTTGGCTGTGAGAGTGGTGAGGCCCTGGCACAGGTTGCCCAGAGAAGCTGTGGCTGCCCCTGGATCCCTGGAAGTGTCCAAGGCCAGGTTGGATGGGGCTTGGAGCAACCTGGGCCCGTGGAAGGCATCCCTGCCCATGGCAGGGTTTGGAATGAGATGATCCCTTCCAACCCAAACCATTCAGTGATTCCAGGGGACAGTTACATTTCCAATGCCCAGGAGCATTTCAGGATGCCTTTCAGGAATGACTTGTGTCTCTCCCAATTCCTCTCTCATCTATGTGAGCCTTGTGTGTTCAGATGTCTTGGATGTCCTGAGGCATCTCAGATGACCCCAAATGTCTCCATTTAGGCAAATAAATTAATCCCTGAATGTCTGAGCCCCTGTGCAGCCAGTGCAGACCTGGTCCACGTGTTTAACACAATCCATAAAGCTGTTCCTCTCTGGAATCACCTGGGAGGCAATTCTGCTCAGTTTTTCTCTGAATATTTCACCACTTATTATCTCCAAGAATGGGATGTTTATGTCTTATCAGAGTAGCACTTGGCTTTCATTATTTTAGAAGAATACTTAATTTTATGGTGACTATTTCTTAGAAATATAAAAATACTCTGGGTTGCCCGTGGAAACACATGGCTGACAAAAAGAGATGTTTAGAGGATCTATATGTGTATGGATCCATAAAGAGAATAGTTTGAGGAAAAGGATGTGGATTCTAGAAAGGAATATGGTACTATCATTTATCCCCCAATTCTATGATTAATATTATTTATAGGGATGACTGAACCTTTAAAGATTCCTGTTTGAGTCTGTTTGGTTCTAAAGTTCAAAAAGCAAAAAAAAAAGAAATCTTTAAGTACCTTTTGAAATTCCAATTAAGAGTCAGTCAAAACCTATCACTAAAAGAATAGGTTTTGTTTTGCAAATTAGCAATTAAAAAGTGACAAATATCTTCAATGCTCAAACACTCTTCTGCAATTCCCATTATGTTCAAATAATACTTTTCTTTCTGGGAACGTGAGGATGTTCCCCAGTATTTCCTTTCTTCCCTTTCTCTTAGGAATGCCTCTGGAAGCTCTCTATCTAACTCCAAAGCTCCACTCACTTCACCAGGACTGGGGATTATGCAAATTCCTTCATGAATAGTTTAAAATCGCATTCATATTTTCTAGTTTCAAATTATAACAGGGGTGGCTTATTGGCTTTTATGTTTATTTCCCTACTGTTTTTTGCCCTTTTTCCCCCCTCTGAGTTTTACTTAATTATTTAAATTTATTATTTAAATTATTTATTTCTTCAGTTTTCATCCTAGAGTAGTAATAATTAGGGAAAGTCAACTTTTCTTTTTGTTCTACAAGTCTTGAACTGCAATTATTTCCCTGTTTTAGTAGTTGTGCATGTTTTCCATGGCTTAAGACAGACAGTGCTCTGGAAAACAGGCACTCCATGAGCTCACGTGTCTTAACTCTGGAATATTATGTGGGGTTTTATTGTTAATATTTCTCTCCTTATGACAATTTCTCTGGCACCACTTTAGCAGAATAACAAACATCAGCCTCTGATTGTATTAATCCTGTGGAAAAGCAATTTAGTGCTGTATTGTTGTAAATTATGTCTCTTTAGGAGCAGGTTGTTTTATTATGACAAAGATTTCAATTTTATCTGTTCCCGTGGATGGGAGGATTTATTGTTGCTGTGAGGTGGCAGAGAAATGAGGAGGAGGCTTCAGCAAGGGAATAAAATGTCTCTGTCTCTCAGGGGAAGGGCAGCAGGATGAACTCAGACATGAACTGGGAGAGGGAAAAGGGAAAGAACCTCTGAGGAGGATCCTGAGGTCATTGGATCAAATCAACAAGGAATCACAGAGTTGTTTAAGTTGGAAAAGCCCTCTGAGATCATCGAGTCCAACCATCCCCCAGCACTGCCAAGGCCACCACTAACCCATGGCCCCAAGTGCCACATCCACCTGGCTTTTAAATCCCTCCAGGGATGGGGACTCCACCCCTGTCCTGGGAAGGGCTTCACCCCTTTTGGTGAAGAATTTTCTCCTAACATCCAATCTGGAAGCATGTTTTAATCCATATTTCTCACTCATACGTGTAAAAACACACGTGAACACAGGTTTATGGGCAAGTTCCTTGTAAAAATATCCCATGTCTCCTGCCAAAATCCCTGCTGCAGTACAGTGAGTGCTGGGGAGTGTGTAGGTGCTATGACCCGCCCCAGAAGGGGAAGGTAACCCAGGTTCTTATTAATAAATCCCTTGGGGTGAATTAGAGTGAAACAACACTGAATAATCAATGTTTGTAAACATATATATGTAGGGTTTATTTTAGGACAGTTTTGTTTCAAAGGTAAACAGGTAAGTTGCTGTTTTGGGTGTTATCATCTACAGCAATATTAAAGCATCTGTAGCAATATAGCAACATAAAAAATGGCAATATAGCACTATTAAAGCATAACAATATTAAAGCATATATATATATATAAGCTGACTGATATATATAATCACCACCCACTGGATCCAGCGATGAAACTTGGGAGTTGCAGCTTCCATGTCTGTTGGTTGAAGTGGTGGTTTTGATCTGTTGGGGCTGGGGGAAGGCCCCCCTAAACCTCAAAGGTTTCTTGAGTTATTATACACTTCCAGCTCAGGTGGGAACGCCTTGTACCTCCCCTGGGTGGGGAGTTTTGTCGTGGATCACGTCACGGGACATGTCACAAGTCTTTGATGCTCCCAGGAGGGGTTTTCACAGCGGAGTCATCATGTAAGGGAGGACTTTGGTATGATAAGAAGGATTATCCCACCTTGCAGGATTTGCCCTTTCTTAGCCTTCTTCCCCTATCTGGAAATGCAGTTTGTAGCTTCAGGTGTGCATCTGCACCCAGGATAGTTGGACAGTGGCACCCACTTCTCTGATCTGAAGGTGCTTTCCCAGTTGGCATGTTCAGGGATGAGTGGGCTCTGCTGGGTGAGCAGCTGCTTCTTTGCAGTTTGCTGCAGCGGAGAAAAGTCTTGTGGTGATCTTACAATGTTTAAGCCATTAACTATTTCACTCTCTGACAGCAGGGAACAGTCATTTCCAGCACTTTAACAGGGACATGCAGATTCTTGACTTTTTCACACTCATCAAGCCTCTGGGAACAAAGTTCAGAAGCAAAACTGGGAGGGAATTTCAAGAGAGGTCCTACAAATTGCCACCAGCCTGATTTACCTGAAGAACCCAAGCCTAACAGCCCCAGTGATATCTGTAATTAGGGGAAAATAACTAATTAGATCATCAATTTATATCTTCTGTGGGCTGAACTGTCCTCAGGAGGTTCCTCCCTCTCTCCATAGCCTCCAGGAGCAGGTTGAGCTCCTGATTTATGCAGTTTGCTTGAACACCTGAATTAGGAGAAATCCCAGTCATTACCTCTGTAATTTTTGGTCCATTACAACTTTAGTTTAAGTTAACCTCTGAAGATTCAAAGGAATAACAGGCCTTTGTGAGCCATTGAGATTGAGAAAGGTTCTGGTTGTACTTTGAAGAATCATTTCTGTAATTTTTTAACTTGTCAAATCTTCAGTGTTACTGGTAGAAAACCCAGCATGGGTCATTGATTTCTAAGTGTATTTAATATTTAGCTTATTTTTAACTGCCTTTTATTTCAAATGTTTTGGAAAGGGAATAATAACAGGCAGTGTGTTATCGCTGAGAGAGAAAATACACAATCAGGAATCATCTTCACAACACTAGAGCGGGCATGACACCCTAAATGAATAATCTAATAATTAGTCTCTTAAACATTTATTTAACTAAGCCATCAGACAATTGAAAATGTTGGTTGTGTTTGTTCCTTGATTCCTTTAACTGGGAGAGTTTTGCTAATTCACACCTTTGTCAGTCTGATGTCCTTTGATAATTGGCCACGTGGGCGAACGACCACCAGAATCTTGTGTGAACATCAAGTATCTCCGTGAATAAATTGCTAAACTGAAGCATTTTTCCTCTTGCATAACCCATAATATAATCCATTATTGCTGCCACCTCTGCCTGAAAGCAGAAAATGAAATAACTGTTTGCCATTAATACAAATTATTGTGTTTTGACAGCTTCCTAATCAACTCGAGCAAAAACGGTGCTGCACAAATAGAACAACTGCCTTTTAAGTAACTTTTTTTTGGTGTGTGCTTGAGAATTCTCCTTGTTTGGGCCTTTGAACCATTGCAAGGTTTGTCCTTGGTGATATGTTGATATTCAGAAGCATAAATCAGCTTTATTTGTGTCATGCTCTGATGCAGAATGGATTTTTCCATGTAGTTACCCTATAAATAATCTTGGAAAACACTTGACCAGCAGGTGCTGCCTATAGATGTTGCCTCCACCGTGGAGTGTAATTAATATGCAAATGAGTGATTAATTGGCACATTTTGATGTGATAATGTGTGTTTTATGCCATATCCAGGTATGGGCTGTTTCTGGGGAGCTGAGAGGAAGTTCTGGAGGCAGAAGGGAGTCTACTCCACTCAAGTGGGTTATGCAGGAGGTCACACCCCAAACCCCACCTACAAGGAGGTCTGCTCAGGTAACTCTTCCTCTTTGGTTTTTGGGAATTGGGAGTGGGATCCCGTCAGATTATGAGGAATTAAATGAGTGGCTGCAGTGACTAAAAGAATGTGGTGTTTGGTCCACCCTGGTGTTGGCTTTGCACCCTAAACTGTCCTGAAGTCTATGTCTGCCCATCCCATTGTTACTTCCTAATAAGTTTGGGTGTGAACAAAAGAAAGAGTTCTTCAGAAATTCTATTTCAAATGATGAAAGTGTGTTCCTTAGATAAAGTGTGAGTTTTGCTTTTACTTTTGTCTGTATCTATGAACAAAAATCAGCAATTTCTCATTTGTGTTATTATTAATAATTTGTTAATTTTTAATACAGTTTAATGCACAACATCCTGCCATTTCCAGGCCAAACCCTTGCATTTATTTTTCATTCTGCAGCACTAATAACCCAACACAGTTTCTTTCTGTGGCCTAAACCACAGAACCACTGGCAGCCAACTAATGTTGCTGTGGAAGTAAATCCTTGCGTTCCAGGACTTGTGGGGAGCAGCCTGGAAGTTTTCTTTTGGTTTATTTTCTTGTTAACAATTTTATGCCAAATGCTGATGTTGGTGCTTGTTCTTAGTGACAAACTGTCACGTGGGCTCAATGGAAAGGGTGTGAAATGGTCAGAGACAAACAAATAATGGACACTTTAGAAACGGTGCAGAAGTGCCACAAGGAGCCAAAAAGGCAGGAACTTGGTGGAAATAGGGAAAAATGGGAAAAGGGATGTTTGAGGTGGAATGGGATAGAATAGAATAGAATAGAATGTAATAGAAATAGAACGGAATACAAAGAAAAGGAAGGGAAGGGAAATAGGAATGGAATGGAATAGGAATAGAAATGGAATGGATTAGGAAGGGAAGGGAAATGGAATGGAATAGAAATAGGAATGGAATGGGAAGAGAAGGTTTGGGAAGAGAAGGTTTGGGAAGGGAAGGGAATAGAAATAGGAATGGAATGGAATAGGAATAGAATAGAATGGAAATAGAAATGGAATGGAATGGAATAGGAAGGTTTGGGAAGGGAAGGTTTGGGAAGGGAAGGTTTGGGAAGGGAAGTTTTGGGGAGGTTTGGGGAGGTTTGGGAAGGGAAGGGAAGAGAAGGGAAGGGAATAGAAATAGGAATGGAATGGAATAGGAATAGGAATAGAATAGAAATAGAAATGGAATGGAATAGGAAGGGAAGGGAAGGTTTGGGAAGATTTGGGAAGGGAAGGTTTGGGAGGGTTTGGGAAGGGAAGGAACAGGATTGGAAATTGAGTGGAATGGAATGGAAAATTCTTTTTCCATTTTGTGGTGACAGCCATACAGAGGACAATCTGAAAAGGCTTTCTGGAGTGGGTGCTATTTTCAGGGCTTTTGCCTAATCCATAAATACACCAATTTTTGGCCAGCATTAGACAGCCCAGGATGTTCATTCAGCACGAAACATCTTTTCATATTTTGCTTACAGATGTTCAGAACAATTCTGTTTATCTGTATATTCATAAGCTTTTAGAAATCTGCATAGCTCAAGTGGCTCTGAAATCAGAAGGGAGAAACTCTGCTGCTGTTATTCAGAAAGTGGTGATGTACAATTACCATATAAAATGTGCTGCTAACGATGATTTTCTTAAAAACAGGGCAGTTTATAGGCTTGTGGTTCAACATCTAAGCAGGTCATTTTGCTTTGCTTGGAGTTGTTTTCTTTGTTTATCCTCGGTGACTGTAATTTAAGAAAAAATATGAATATGTCTGTTTATTATAGGATATTAGTTAGAAGGCTTAGTGAACATAACAGCAGATTAAACCAATTTATAACCCAGACAACTCTCAGTACCTTTCTGAAGCTTTTTCTCTCGTACACAAATCACAAATTCTAAAAATTAACAATTCAATATAAAAGTATTCCATGTGGAGTTGGTTTTCTGCTTTGAGTTACATAAAATAGTTGATTGTGAGGTTGTTTCACATTTCCTAAGCAGCAAACCCACGTTTTTCTGAGGGACAGTGTTGCCTCTTGCATATCAATTAGTCTTTTGACTGATTCTTCTCTGTAAGATTTCCAGGTCTTGGCTTTCAAAGGTCATCCAGAAGACTTGGAAATAGCTGATGGAAAGGAGTGGAGAAAGGCAAAATTAATTTCTTGCTCTGTTACCTCCTCTGCCTTTGGTGATTTACCAAGTTAATTCCATCTCTGCTTCATCTTTAGACTGGAAGGAGAGGGCAGGACAACCAGATGACCCCAGAGCAGGCTGATGGTAGGCACAGTGTGGATTAAGAATGGAAAGGCTTGTGGAGGGTTTGGCTTTGTGATGTGGAGCTTATTTTATATATTTATGCATAAAAAATATGGTCATTAAAGGTGACAACTGAAAGTCTGACTGGCATTTTTCACAAGTTATTAATAGAAATATAGAACAAGTGAATATGGGATAATAGTTCTTGTGTTCTCAGATTTCCCCTTCCCTACAAAATACAGATGAATGTCCTATGGCAAATCATCAGCATGTTCATTGAATCACAGAATCATGGAATGGTTTGGGTGGGAAGGGATCTTAGGATCATCTTATTCCAACCCCAGCCATGGAGACACCTTCCACTATCCCAGGTTGCTGCAAACCCCATCCATCCTGATCTTGGACACTTCCAGGGATCCAGGGGCAGCCACAGCTTCTCTGGGCAACCTGTGCCAGGACCTCACCACCCTCACAGCCAACACTTCCTTCCCAGTATCCCACCTATTCCTGCCCTCTGACAGTGGGAAGCCATTCCCTATGTCCTATCTCTCCATCCCTTGTTCCAGGTCCGTCTCCAGCTCTCCTGGAGCCCCTTTAGGCACTGGAAGGTGCTGGAAGGCCTCCCTGGATCCTTCTCTTCTCCAGGTGAACCCCCCCAGCTCTCCCAGCCTGGCTCCAGAGCAGAGGGGCTCCAGCCCTTAGATCAACTCAGTGACTCTCCTTATATTGAGACAGGGCCTTGCCTTGCTTGTAAAACCCTTCCTCTGGACACCACAACACTATTCCAACGTGGCTCCAACTCTCCAAAATGTTTAACTGTATAATCCAACTACAAACATTCCCTTCGCTTTCTGTAGCTTATAAAGGGATCTGAAGGTTTTCATGAGCAGGAACTAAGACCACAAGATTAAAGTTTCCAAGCAGTAATGAGAATGGTTCAGAACGGTTTCTTTTATTATTAGGTCTCTGTCAAGAGAATAGATTCCTGTTGTGCCTTTGTCTGTTCCTTTTTTTTTTTTTTCATATAAGAACAGGATATAGGAATTTTAATGACTGTGAAGAATATCAGTGTTCCCCATGCTCTTGATCTGTGCCTTGGTATGATTGGCCAATTGCTCCACCTCTCCCCTTTTTTTTTTTCCCAGTTCACCTGTGAGGAGGGAAGGAAAGGTCAGGCAAAGTACAGAATACTGTGGAGATCAAAGTTAATGTCAGGTACTGTGGGTAGGAGTGTTTTGTGTGGTTTTTTTGTAGCAATTGAAGAACAAGATTTCGTAGAAAATATGTAATTTTTATTAACTAGACCAGTTAGAATAAGTTTTGTCTCTGTAATCATGAGATTGTTGTCTTGGGATCCTCCTGGAAGTGCAGACAAAACCTTGATATAACCCTCTAAATTATAATTTGTCCTTGATGCCAATTGCCAGGTCATGAAATAAAATGAATGTACCAATTTCACTTCAAAAAATCATTTGGAAAGGTGAGAACAGCTGCTGCTGCCACGTTAAAACCTTGGCAACCAGAACTCTAAGAGATGCATTAAATCTCAGTTCCCGCAGCTCTACCTCCAAAATTGCCCACACTGACATTACTGACATGTTCCTTTTCAACAGAAAAGCTTCTTATTGACCAAGAAAACTTCACTACACCTTAAAATCCAGGATACAGAAATGGAGCCTGATTCAGAATTTAAAAATGAAAGGCAGAATAAATATTTTTTTGCCTGAAAAACAAAAAGCTCTTTGTCCACAAGGGAAGGCAGCAGCTCTGCTTAGGGAGCTCTGCTGCATCTTTAATCAAGGTTGAGTTCCCTTTTCCATTTCAGAATTTGACTTCTCAGGGTTAATATCTTGTCTGGTTCAGGCTCCAAGAAACCAAAGTGATATTTATTATTTAGATACCTGATTGTGCCTCGTGGCAAATTTCAAATCCTAATGGCCTCACTGCTGTCCTCTGTTCCTGTCATCTATTTATCTCAGCGTTGCCCATAATCACAGGCTCAGGTTGTAGCAGCAGTATAAATACTAAATATATTATTTATTATTAACAACTTTATTTGAATTGTATCCCACTGAGATGTGTTGTTTCCATCTCTCTCATCTCCTGGTTTTATTAAAGATATATATAAGATGAAAATGTGATAGCCCCAGAGGTTGAAAGAGCCATTATAGAACAAGTCAAAGACAAAATCTTCTGACCTGGAGCCTCCAGGAAGTTCCCAGAGGATCTTTATTTTCAGGAGAGGCCCCGTGCAGGATCAGGCTGGGATGTTCCCACATCACTGGGCCTGAAAACAGAAGACGCAGCACGAAGCTGCTTCTTTTTTAAAGCATCAGAACATGGTGTATTTGTGAAAATGATGTTATTAAAAAGCTCTCTGTTGTTATTGTGGCCAGTGGGGGTTTCTTACTTTTTCTTTTTGCTGTGGAGACACTGGTGAACAAAAAAATAAGCTACACAGCCAGTTCACTCGGTCTGCCAAACTGTGCTCCCAGGATTAGGGATTGCTGCAGGTGGGAACTCCACTGGGGTCACCTGTGGCTGTTCCTGTTCATGAGAATCATTCTGATGTGTAATATTTGAAGTATCTTGTGCAAACTTATACAAGAAGTCAAAAAAGTAGGGGAAAACAAGAAGCAAAAGGATGTCATGGGGATAGAGATCAAAGATGGAGGAAACTAAGGAGGGACTTTGGACAAGGGCCTGGAGGGACAGGACAAGGGGGAATGGCTTCACACTGAAATAGAGCAGGGTTAGATGGGATATTGGGAAGGAATTGTTGGCTGGGAGGGTGGTGAGGCCCTGGCCCAGGTTGCCCAGAGAAGCTGTGGCTGCCCCTGAATCCCTGGAAGTGTCCAAGGCCAGGTTGGACGGGGCTTGGATCAACTTGGGCTAGTGGAAGGTGTCCCTGCCCATGGCAGGGCGTAGAACAAGATGAATTTTCAGGTCCTTCCCACCTAAACCATTCCATGATTCCATGAGTTCTATCTTCATATACTCCCAGCTTCCAGGTATTAATGATTTAGTCTTTAATAATCACTGATGACCTTTTCCCTATTAATTTGTTAATCTGTTTCTTTAATACGATTTTATTTCTGGCATTCACAAATAGGAGGGGAAATTGTGGTTTCATTAACTCCAGCATTGAACCTGTGCAGGAAGTTTCAAAGAGAACTTGTTAAACGGTGTTTTACTAAAGGTTATTTTGTGGCAGCTCAATGTGTCGGGGAATGAAGTATTTGTTCTGAGGAGTGAACAAAAATTTGCTTTACTGGCACTCTTTATGTATTCCATAGTGATGTTTTGCATTTCTCTACCACCAGTAGAGCTCAAAGCAACAGCTAAGCTGGAAAGGAGAGAAAAAACAAGGTAATGGGAAAAAAACCAAAGAGAAGATCCATTATAGGAAGTCTGAAAATATCAATTTGTGTTGTTTTGTTTTGTTCTGAGTCGTTTTTGCTTTGAAACACTTCTGTACAACATCTTTGGAGGCTTTCACTTTGGCATAAAGAAAGGGTTTTTATTTCTTGGTTGCACGTCGTGTGGCATCAGCAGTAGGATGGTTTGGGTTGGAAGGGACCTTAAGATCATCTAATTCCAACAGTACTAAGAGCAAACTTGATTTCCACATCAATGAGGACACTTCAGCCTGTCATGTGGACAGAGTGACCAGTCTAAGGTGTTTGACCTTAAACCTGTCAGAAGGAGAAGAAGCTTTGGATAGAGCCCACTTGGAGCTCTTCAAAAATTGGCTTTGGCTTCCAAAGCAGCTTCTTTGTTATCAACACTCGTGGCATCCCCAGAAGAGCTGCCAAGGCTGCACATGGGTCAGATCTATGGCAGGTCATGGCACAGGGCACAGATCTGGGAACGGGGATGTGATCAATCCTATCCCTGGATTGCTTTGGGAGGCCCTGCCATGGTTGTAGCCTGTCCTGGAGAATTCCCAGGCACAGACACTCAAACAGAGTGTGGGTGCACAAATCCTGTGTGGAGGATAGGAAGTTTGTTGCAAGGGGACTTCTGATGGGAAGTTGGGAGTCATCAGAAGTACCTGAAGGGAACACGCAGGAAAGATGGAGAGGGAATTTTTATGAGGGTATGGAGTGATAGGACAAGGGGGAATGGCTTCAAACTGAAGGAGAGTAGGTTTAGATGGAATATTGGGAAGAAATTCTTCCCTGTGAGGGTGGTGAGGCCCTGGCAAAGGTTGCCCAGAGAAGCTGTGGCTTTCCCATCCCTGGAAGTGTTCAAGGCCAGGTTGGACAGGGCTTGGAGCAACCAGGGATAGTGGAAGATGTCCCTGCCCATGGCAGGGAATGGGAATGGATAGTCTTTAAGGTCCTTTCCAACCCAAACCATTCTGGGATTCCATGATTCTCTGTAGTCAGAGACTAAACTTAAACTTGTATTTACTAGAAAATGAGAAGCTCAGTGGACTCTTTGGGCTGCCCTACTTTTGTTTTCAATCTTTTTGAAGTGTGTTGTCTATATTGACATCCCTAACCAGCCCTTTTAAACCCATGGATCCTAGGAATGCTCTGGCTGGGAAGAAGAAGGAAGGAAGGACCAACTTTGCCTCCTTGACTCTGCCCACAGTTTGTGCCTGGAGACATTTCTGTCCCTATTACTGAGCACAGAAAGCCATCGTGGCAGAGTGTTCATACACCCCCAGTGCTGCCACACAGATCAAATCTGCCTGGAAAACCCAAACCCAACACTGACATGTGGATAACCTCATTTTTTTGCCTACTAGTTCCCCTCTTGGTTTAATCCAGTGTTTATTCAGTCAAGTGATTCAATTAGAAACTATTTTTATTTTCTTTACGAGGAGTGAAAAATGTTAATTGTAGCTGAAATGCCTTCGAGTGATTCTCTTCTAATGTCACATTTCCATAAGCTCTATAAGGTTTGCTTTCTGCTAAAATAGTACAGCAGCAGAACAAAAATACTAAAAAAAGAGGGTTTAATGTTTTCAGTGCTGGACTTGGGGTGGGTTATGACCTTGGTGGGTAAAGCAGAGAAAAAAAAAAAGAAGGTCTTTTCCTCCCAAAGTGAATCACTAAGAGAAAAGGCACCAGATTGCTGCAGACAGTTGGGAGAAATCAAACCTCAAGAGAATTTTAATGAATATGCTAAGCCATCATCTCAGTGTGTGTACAGACCTGGCACTGCCTGGTTTGGAGTAGAAAGTGAGTGAAAGGAAAGCAGTTTTAACTGAACTTGGGTATCCAGGCTGTTATTTGGGTTTACTGGAGCATGACATGGATGGTGATGGTCCTTCTCAGGAATCTTGTCAGCCACGAAAAGGAGAGCTGCAGACCTGTTAACTGTTGCTAGAGCACTTTGTGGCTTCCATTCATAGAATCATTTAGTTTGGAAAAGCTCTTCAAGTCCAACCATTCCCCCAGCACTGCCAAGGCCACCACTAACCTGTGTCCCCAGTTTTAAAAGCCATCCACATGGCCTTGAAATCCCTCCAGGGATGGGGACTCCACCACTGCCCTGGGCAGCTGTGCCAGTTCTTGACGACCCTTTCCATGAAGAAGTTGTTCCTAATATCCAACATAAACCTTCCCTAACACAACTTCAGGACATTTTGTCTCATCCAGTGACTTGTGACCTGGGAGAAGAGTCTGACACCCACCTCACTGCACGCTCCT